AGACAAAACTCAAGATCTAACAACTTGTAATGATAAAAAATTAAGTATTGGACACTTACAAAGGTCCAGAAGAGTGCCAAGATGAAGAATGGGGACTTGTTTGCTTGATCTTTGCTTCCTTCCTCGTCCTTCTTTTTTCTTGAGCTTAAAAAAGCACCAAACTAGCTCAAAAATGGGGAAAGATGATTAGGGTTTGCAAGGAACGATTTGGGGGAATGGGGGATGATGTGAGGGAGGCTATGTTGGGGGGGGGGGTTAATGATCCTTAAATAGGGCTCAACCCTTAAACTTTAGGGTTTTCTCCAATAGCTGCCACCACGCCGTGGTGGCCCATTAAACTTCGCGTTCCAAAGGCTTATCACCATGCTGTGGCCAAAAAAGAATTATGCACAATTCGGAAATAATTTCATACCTTATCATCAAGATGTTACAATACTACCCCACTTGATCTAGACATCGTCCTCGAAGTCTTCCGCGGCGAATAACTCAGGACAATGCCCCCGCATCTCCGCCTCCGGCTCCCAGGTCCACTCGGAGCCTCTCTGATGCTGCCACTGTACCTTTACCAAAGGTATCTCCTTATTGTGCATGACTTTCATCTTTTTCTCCAAAATGTCTATCGGTCTCTCAACATAATGCATGCGCTCATCGACCTAAATATTGTCCAAGGAAACAACTGCCTCATCATTCAATACACACTTCCGCAACTGCGAAACATGGAAAGTACTGTGAATCTGACTGAGCTCCTCAGGTAGATCTAACTTGAAGGCTACCTTGCCAACCCTGACAATCACCCGAAAAGGTCTAATATATCGGGGGCCCAACTTTCCCCTCTTCTTGAATCGTATCACCCCTTTCCAAGGTGAGACCTTCAGTAATACCATATCACCGACCTGAAATTCCAACTCGGATCAGTGCCGGTCAGCATAGCTCTTCTGCCGACTCTGTGTTATTTGCAACCTCTGCCTGATCTGATGGATAAGCTCCGTGGTCTGAAGGACTACTTCGGTCCTTCCCATCACCCTATGACCATCCCTCGCCCCAACAAACCGGTGTACGACATCTCTGCCCATACAAGAGCTTATATGACGGAGCACCAATGCTTGAGTGATAACTATTATTGTAGGAGAACTCCGCAAGAGGTAGGTAGGAATCCTAACTCACAACAAAATCAATAACACATGCCCGCATACACAACTCCCTACCTAAAGACGCAACCGACTTGCGACTCAAAGCATCCGCTACCACATTCGCTTTACCCGGATGGTAAAGGATCTCATAGTCATAATCCTTGACTACGTCCAGCAACCTGCGCTGCCTCATGTTCAAGTTCGACTGATCCATAATATTCCCACAACTCTTGTGATCCGTGTATCCGATAACAGACCCCATAAAGATAATGTCTCCAAATCTTGAGGGAAAAAACCACTGCCCCCAACTCCAGGTCATGTGGGATATCGCGTCTCATGCGGCTTCAGCTGCCGCGAAGCATATGCAATCACCCGACCTCTTTTCATGAAGACCGCCCCCAATCCGGTGATGGATGCATCACATAATACCACAAAATCCTCAACTCCTTCCGGAAGGGTCAATACCGGGGCCTCACATAACCTCTATTGAAGAGTCTCAAATGCCGACTGCTTCTCAGGGCCCCATCAGAAATCCACCCCCTTCCTTATCAGACGAGTGATGGGTACCACAATCTTGGAGAAGTCCTGAATGAATATTCGATAGTACCCTGTCAAACCCAAGAAACGCCTGATCTGTGAGGAAGATTTCGGAACCTCCCACTGCATCACAACCTCGATCTTGGCTGGATCGACCAAAATCTCATCTTGGTTAACGAGATGCCGAAGAAACTGGACCTCTCGTAACCAAAACTCACACTTTGAGAACTTGGCATAAAGCCGTTCTCGCCTCAAAACCCCCAAAAGTGCTCGAAGGTGCTCCTCATGCCGCTCTCTGGTCTTAGAATACACCAAGATATCATCAATAAACACAATAATGGATCGGTCGAGCATCAGCCTGCATACCCGATTCATCAAATCCGTGAACACAGCATGCGTATTGGTGAGCCCAAATGGCATCACCACGAACTCGTAATTCCCATAACGAGTCGGGAACGCAGTATTCTCTATGTCCTTCTCTCTCACTCTCACCTGATGATACCCAGACCTCAGATCGATCTTAGAGAACCAAGATGCACACTGCAACTGATCAAAGAGGTCGTCAATTCGTAGAAGGGGATAACGGTTCTTCACCTTTATAGGGAGGAAAGTTAGGAGGGAAAGTGATCATTCCATTTCTTTCCACTTCCTTCCTTTAGTGAAACTCGAGAACATCAATTTCTTTTTACTTTCCTCTCACTTCCACCCATTTCCTTTCTTTTTTCTCCTTAAATTGAACTCGGGAATGGGGTGTAAAGCTATAAACCAAAAAAAACCTCCTAAATCCTCATACACTACTGGACCAATGGAAACCATCCGGCCGTATGCCGAAAACTTCTATATGTATTTGATTTGTACTCTACAACCACATATATGTACACTAAAGTCATCGGCCTGCTCCATCAATTTGCAACGTGAACTGCTGATATGCACCATCGTCGTCGTCGATCTGTCGGAAAAATACACCAAGAACATAATCAGAAACCTCGCCGAAAATTTAAACCCTAGCCTCTATTTCCTCTCTTTTTATTTCCTCTATTTCTGTTGCAGGAAGCATCACAAGAAAATTCATCAAATCTTGGTTCTCTTTTTCCCGCATCTAGCCTCGATGTGCTATCGGTGATGATGGATCTGCATAGTCAAAACACAGTCATTCCCATGACATTAAATCCCTAAATCGAGCCTTAGACATGCACAGTCGAATCAAGAACGGAAGAACACAATCCTAGCAAAAAGAAGTACTATCCCGATCTTTTCAACATCATCCTTCTCCAGTCTCGATCTCCTCCACCATGGCTTTTTTTTTTGCATCTGGTCTTTGAATTCTTTTGAGTTAGAAATTTAAATCCTTTAATAAATTAATTGATTTTATGAAATCGAGTTTCAAAACTCATATTTTCTATAAAAACCCTCACCGCTTTCAAACAGGAAAACTCCCCAAATCGGCATTGAGTTTCAGATTGATTTGTTAAGTAAGCTTTAGAGTGCAGATTATGGTTTGGGGGCGAGTGGCTACTGGAGAGGGGAAATAGAGATGAGAGGATTTAGGTTGTTGCCTATCGGAGATGGTGGGTTTGATTTAGGGCCTTATCATTTGGTGGGATTAGTTCTTACTATATCATGAGAGAAGAAAGACAGATACATCAGCTTGGATGTTGGGTTTGGATTTGCTCAAACAATTTTCAAAAATGATTTCTTGCATCTGCCTAGACTAGCAGGTTGTAGAAATGTTTGGCGAGGGATGAAGAAGTATCATGGCCATCGAAGGAGAAAGAGTTAAGTGGTGGTGAGGGGCCTACATATTTAAAAAAAATATATATTAACAAACAAATTAATCTATAAATAAAAAAACAATGAAAAAAATGATAGATAAATAGATAAGGGAACAATACTCTTTTTAGGTCAATAAGGACCGTGTAACAAAAATTCATCTTAGGGACCGTCCAAGTTAAAATAAAAAGTTAGGGACTAAATGTGTAGATTACACCAAACCATAGGGACCATTCATGTAATTTACTCTTTTTAATAAGATAAAAAAAATTAAAAATAAATTAATAAGGGCATAATAGTCTTTTTAGGTTAGTCAGGGACCAAACACATAACAAAAACAAATATTAGAGACGTTCTGAGTTCAAAAAAAAGTTAGAGACCAAACACGCAAATTACCCCAAACCACAGGGACCATCTGTAACGCCCGCAGATTCAGGCTAATCAATTTAGAGATAATAAACGTTAAAAATGACTTTTTGATAGAAGATTATTTAGAATAAATAATCTTAAACAAAATTATAGTAATTGTCACAAGGATTCCGTACATATAAAGAACGCTGAAATCCGACTAATAACGAAAAAGTTATGGCCCGTTAAAGTTTCGTGATTAAACCGACATGACTCCGCGTATCGTAAAAAGTAAATTTTTGACAAAATACTTTTTAGCTTTAGCGATCTAAACAAAGTCGTAGTAGACGTTAAACCGAGAGTGTGCATATAGAGAACGTCCAAATCTGACTTCGTTAAAAGAAGTTACAGCTCGGAAATCGAATTTTAGATCGATTGATTCTTAGCCTACACAATCTAAACGAGAAGATCCCGTCGATACCTACACATAGATGTTGAACGATATAAAGACAGCCGAAAACGGACGACGCACGACAAAGTTATGAATTTTTGATGGACTTTAACTGTCTAAGCCTGTTAAAATATAAGTTTAAAAATAAAGTCAAAATTAGCTGACGGAATCTAAACGAAAGTTGTAGATCTCGTCGATACCTACACATAGATATAAATAACGTCAAAAACGGAGCTCGTATGCAAAAGTTACGGATTTTAGAAGATAATTAATTTTTGGGATTAACCAGCGAGTGACACGTGGCAAGATCTGGGCCACTACTTCCCCACGGATTTGCACGACATCGCGACACGTGGAACATTACGCCCAACGTAATTTTGAGTACGCCCAACATAACCCTTAAAAAGCCATTACGCCTAGCGTAATTCTTGAGTACGCTCAGGTAGGCCTGTCAATTCGGGCAGTCGTTTCGTGTATATGCGTAAAACGACACGACACGAATTGTTTTTGCATAACCTGAAAACGACATGACACGACGTCATGTTTTTTTTTCCTAACACGAACACGAATCTATTAAAAAACCGACAAACACGACTTACACGACAACACGACAAAAGTAGCATAAAATTTTCTTTTGTTTAATTAATTAATGCTTAAAAAACGACAAACACAACAACACGATAAAATAACAAAAAAAATACTAATATCCTCAAATTAATACATGCTTAAAACGAAAAACACGACAAAAAAAACATAAAATGGTACTAAACGTCCTCAACTTGTATATCCTTGTTATCCATTTGCATGACATCATCGATAAGTTCTTCTAAAGACAAAATAAAAAACATAACATAAAATTAATAAAAAAAAAGTTAATTAATACACCAAATTCAAATTTTCAGAAAGTAAAAAAAAAACAAATACCTTTAGTTGCAAACAACCAATCTTTGGTACAAATTATAGCCTCAACAATGTCATGCTTCAAAGAACTTCGATATTGATTAAGAACACGACCACCATTACTAAAGGCAGATTCGTAGCTACAGTGGAGACCGGGATGCTTAAAATATCCCAAGCCATAAAAGCAAGCTCCGAATAACGATATTGATTTGCTTTCCAAAAAGATAGAACATCTAAATCCTCATCTATTGTCACTTCTTGGCTCATCTAAGTACATCTCCAACTGTGACTTTTGAGACAAAGCAAATTCTGTACTCTCGTAAGTTGTGAACTTCTGTGAAAAAAAAATTATTAAGAGGAAAAAAATTATACATTAAGTTAAGATCACAAAATAATTAATAAGTAATTTCTTACCTTTAGCATGTCTCTCGTGCTTTTACTAAACACCGTGTCACTCTTCTTTTCATGCACAACCTTTCTTGAATCACCCCTTGATACTGTTGAAGTTTTACAAGACACGTGTGAATCAAGAACATACTCTTTAAAGAGATCAAATAATATCTCCCTTACACGATCAATGTGATAACAAGATTCGCTTCCGTATAGTTTTTTATAAATGAACTCAACGTACTGTATATTTTATAACACGGATCCAAAACTACAGATATTGCCAAAATCACACTGTACGCGGACCAATACTTTGGAAACTTCTCATACATTTTGGAAGCCATTTCCTTCATAAACTTATCTGAACTTACCATTTCTTCTTTTAAAGTTTTTTCAACCATAGAAACAGAGGAAAATATAAGTTTGTTGTGGAGTATTTGTTTCCAAAAAAGATGCACGTAACTTCATAAAATACCTCCAAGAATCTAAAAATCTTTTCTAATTTACCCCATTCATCATGACTTGGGCAATCCAAATAATTAGAGTCACTAAGTGCTAAATGAAAGAAAGCACGTCGATAAAATAAAGCACTTTCAATCATAAGATAAGTGGCATTCCATTGGGTAGGAACATCTTGACGCAAACCTGTTTTTGGATTCATATTAACATATTTCACACAATCGATAAATTTCTTTCTCCTTGCTTGAGAACCCTTCACATACTTGATAGACTCTCGTATTTTAACGATCCCTTCAACAATAGCTTTCAAACCATCTTGCACAACCAAATTTAGCACATGAGCACAACACCGAATATGAAAATAATTTCCATTACTACGAAGAGCACCTTCATTGCACAATTAACCTTTTAGTGGATTGACAAAAGTATTATTACTTGATGCATTGTCTAATGTGATAGTAAACAACTTTTTGTCAATAAAGTGGAAATCGTTTATGTTAAGCATATGCCACTATGTGGGGGTGGCATATATTGAAAGCTTAAAATTCTTTTTTGCAATTTCCACTCCTCATCAATGAAGTGACAAGTCACACACAAAAAAACCATTCGTGTTAGATGAAGACCACAAATCAGAAGTTAAAGAAATTCTACCCGGGTTTAACTCCAGTAATATCTTAAGTCTGATTTTTTCCCTGTTAAACAGGCTCACAACATCTGAATTAGCTGTGTTTCTAGTATACGTGATAACATTTTCATTTAAGTACCGAAATACTTCTCTAATCCCCTCATACTCCACAAATTTAAAAGGTAAATCATGCTTGACAATAGCTTCACTCACAAGCTCACGAAATCTTTCGTGTTTAAAAACTGTGGAATTCATAGACATTGAACCACCATATTTTAAAATAAGTAGTTGTGCTATGTCACTTGTATCTCTCCTAGCACACTTTCTTATGTGACCTGGCAAGCTTCATGTTCCATTTTTTGTTTCACAGATATATACTTTTGAGCATTTCTTACATTTTTCCCTTTCCTTCCCATCATTACCAATTGAAAGTCTTTCAAAAAACCTCCATACCTTCGACCATCGTTCTCTTTCTGATTTGACATGAACTTCTTCACCTTCTATTTTAACATCTACATCAACCACATTAATGTCATCTTCTTTGAGGTTAACATCCTTCAAAAGAAAATATAAGATTTAGGTATGTAATGAATTGCAAGAGTAGTAAACTTGCTGAAATGCAATAAGTTGAAATGGTAGTAAAAATACATGTGGAGCCACAACTACAACATGTTCTGTTGTTGAATCAAGCTTTGCCTTCTTCATAACTAGGATGCCAAAAGATTCAAAAAAGAATTAGAAAGTTAATCGGAAATAAACAAATGTATTACTATAAAGTCAGAAATAAGAAAGAAATCTGAACACATAGCAGTGAGTTTCGAAAAAATTTACAGTGAAGTTAAAAAGAAACAAATATATTACCATAAAGTCCAAAATAAGAAAAAAAATCTGAACACATAACATTAACTTTCGAGAGATACATACACTGATACTGCATCTTGTAACAGAGATATAAAAACAAGAAACAAAATCAGTGATACACTATACGTTATACATGATATATACACTGGTACTGTATCTAATCAGTGATACACTATTACAGTCAGAAAGAAAGAAACGTAAAGAGCATGTCGGGCAAGAAAAGATAAAACTGAAGTTGTACTCTGACTTTTATTATTATTACAATCACAGCCTTGAAACAACTTCTTTCAGAAAACACAACAATTAAAGCACAGGCAGTTGAGATTGAACAACTCAAACAGAAAGTAGCCAAGATTATAGAATCAAAAGAACACACAGCAAGGAATTTTGAAAAACATATATTCTGCAATCAGAAAGAAACATAAAGAAGGAATCAGCGTTGATGCCTTGTAACAATAAATCAGAGCATATTAGGCAAAAAAAACACAGAAGGAATCATCATTGATGTCTTATACTAATGAGTAAAGATAATAAGAGGAGATGAATTAGGGTTTGATACTTGTATGATGGCGGTAAAAGTCAAGCAGAAAATCAGAAAATATAGTTGTATGACCGATATGCTAAACTAAAAAAGAACACAAAGTAAGGAATTTTGATTGATGAAAAACATTACCGTGATGATTGATGAAGAACAAAAGAAATCGCCAAGATAGTTGTGATGAAGGAATCAGCCAGTCGCTATGTCGCTATGTTCTGAAGACTAAAGAGCTAAGTCGATGTGTTCTACAGTGTTCATGCTCGAAATTGATGTTAATTGATAATGTAGAGGATTGAAGAGATGGTAGAGACGATACTAGACAACATCAGAGCAACCATAATCTGCACTGCAATTACTCAAATTTATAATCGTGGATGGAAATTGAAGAGCCGATGGAATATGAATCGGAACTCGGAAGAGTGATGACTGAAGAGGCGTACGTGAAATCGTGAATCGTTTGATTGATTTTTGCCAGTGCCGAGGGAACTTTTCTTGGAATTTTATAAAGTTATTAAACCAAAGAGACGCTTCACTTCTAAACGTTTAAACGAATATATATACTTTAAAATAATTATAAATACATTTTCAAATATATTATTTGATAAAAGCATAAGTCGGTTGTATCTCGTTTCAAACTCGTTTTATTGTTGTGTTATATGTGGGCTTTTAATCATGTTTGAGTCGTGTTACTTTCGTGTCAATTTCGTGCTAATTTAGTGCCATTTTTTTAACCCGAACACGACACGACGTCGTGTTTTTTTTACTAACACGAACACGGCACGAACACGAATTCAAATTTCGATTCCGTCCCAATTTCGTTTCATGTCGTATATTCTTGTCGTGTCGTGGCATGTTTTGACAGGCCTACGCTCAGGAGCTGACAACTATAAATAGAGCTCATTTCTCACTCTTTTCTTCACACCTCTTCAACTAATTCTCTCCCAAACCTCCCAAGGTATTAAGAACTTTTCTATATCCCTCCCTAGGATTTAGTAGCAAGCCCCAGAGCGCCATAAGGCCTCGAGAAGAAGAGCTTTCGGCTTAGAAGTTCTGCCCACGCAGAGTCTGGTTCCTCGCTAAACCCCCTTGCAAGTGAGTTATGCTTACCATACTTTAAGTGTAACTTATGTTTAAGTTTATTATCGTTATTATGAACCTATAAACAAGATTTATCAGTGATTCCAAGTCATTATACTAATTGATCTACTTACGGGGATGACGTTTAGGCTGTCATTTAGTGAGGTGTTTAAAGTGAGATTTCCAAACAGTATACTTCGTATACCAAATGGTCCCTACCTCCGATATGATCCTACCTGGTTGTTCCTTACGTGATAGATCTTGAAGTAGACTTTGATTTAATGATGAATCTAGACTAATAATTAGTCGCAATAAATATTAGACTAAAAATTAGTAATAATAATACTAGGTTTCGTCAAAGGAAAAGACAATTGTTAGAAGTGAAGCGCTGCCCGAATTTCGAGTCGTCACTTTAACAAGTGAGTGCATAGTTTGTTGGAACCTGAAAGTGAACCTCTAGAAATCACAAGTTATGAAGATCCGAAGTCAATTTTGAGTCCAAGATGTGAAGTGGTCCGAGATAAGCTTTTGGGTTGAGATGAAGTTTAGTCCGAAGTAGAATGAAGATCTGAGATCAGTCATGTGTTTGAACATTTATTATACTTGTCTTTTATGTGATGTAACATTTCATAGGACTTAGCCTTTTTTGTAAGTTAGATAATCAGATGTCTGAAAGTGGTTATTATCCACTCCTATGTTAGTATCACAATTTTGTACGATGTACCTCCTTTTCCTATATAAGGAGTGTTTTGAATGACAAGAAAACAACGAATTGTTCTTCCAAAGATAGATAAAACTTCATTTACTTCACTTTCATTTTACTCTCACATCAAAATCTTTCATAACATTCTCATTGTTCATTTATTTTCTTTACATTTATCACACTCAAAGTTTCTTCATTAAACGCTTGTGTACTTTGTTGAACATTTACTTCAAGTCTCGACTTGTTTTACCAGACTTGACTGGAACCTCAATTAAGAGCATGCATCGACCTTTTGATTATCTCAAGGTTTGAGTTTTCAAACCTTGTCCTTGTGCATCGTTCCTTGAACTCACAATTAGTATCAGAGCTTGAGTGGTTGTCCTTTGAATCCATAAGAACAGATTATAGTTGATTTGAAATTACCTTGGTATTTTGATCATTTCTGTTATTAGGATAAAAGTTCTTTGTATATACCACTTCTGCTCTAATATCTAAGTTTCAATGGTTGATCCTAATTCTCAACAAATGTATTCAATGCAAATAGAAAATTGCATGGGTTGCCCTTCTCGTGCCCCATTGCTAGTTTTTGAAGAGTATGATCACTGGAAAGTCAGAATGGAAAGGTTTTTACTTGGAAAAGAAAAAGGTGAAGCTATCTGGAGATCCATTAAAGAAGGTCCACATGTTCCTGTGAGAATGAATGTGAGAGATGCTGCTGCAACTCTCATGGGACAGGAAGAACAACGCTAAACACCCCTTACTGCTGATGATATCGAGAAGCTGCATGCTGATCAAGTTGCATTCTTTGAAATGGTGTTTGGTGTCCCTCCTTTTCACTTTGAGCACATCAAGTTGTGAAAATCTGCTAAAGAGATTTGGGACACTCTTCAAGGCCTATTCGAAGGATCCAAGAACATGAAAGATAAGCGTTTGACTTCGGTTGTCAACGAGTTCAATACTTTCACCACAACTCCCAGTGAATCAGTTGCCTTGGCCTCCAACAGATACTGAATCGTTGTCAACAACATGATAGCTCATGGGATTGTCCGAACTCCTCTAGATTACAATCTCAAGTTCATTAACAGTCTCGGAAAGGGATGGGGGAATGTGAAATCTTGTCTTCAGAGTAATGGATATCTGAAGAAGCTGAAGCTCTACCAACTGTTCGATGAGCTTCAAGGTCATGAATCAAATGTTGCAGTCCTCAGAATCTCACAAGACTCTGAAGTCAGACAAACCAAAAATTGTTTGTCACAAGTATGGTCATGCAAACCCATTTGACAAAGACTGCTTGGCAGATGCTCCACAAAAACCAAATATTAAGGACTCTGCATACTGTGCACGTCGAGCTCAAGAGATGGCTGCTAGTGAGAAAGCTTTCGTTATCACTGTGTCAAGAGATGTTGAAGGGTATTGGTCATCTGGAGATGATGATGATGTGAGCACTGGGAGAAACATGTATCTTATGGCTAGACAAACCATCAAATGTGATGAAAACTACTGGTCATCTGGATCAGAGGGAGATGATGATGATGTTGAGCCAAACTACTGCTACATGGCAACCAACGACCCATCCGGTAGAAGCATCGTTCAACAGGTACAATCTATGATTTCTGATAATAATTTTGATTTATCTCCTTGTGAACCACATCTAACCCAGATCCAATCAGATATGAACATCATTTACAAAGCCTATGAGTCAGCCATAGAAGCCAGTGAGAAGATGGAGAGTGAATTAATTTGTCTTATATTACGTTTCAAGGATAAGAAGCTTAAAATAGAGTTTTTAGAACATGAACTTGTAATGTCAAAAGATGAATATATCATTCTTAAAGACTAATGTGAAATCACTTATTCTGAAAGAAAAGTTTTGATTTCTGATAACAAACGTCTCAATGCAAAAATAGATGCTTTACACAATTCCGTAGACATTCTTGAAGCAAATGAAAGGACGACTCATAATTTTCCTCATCCTTGGTCTAAAGCACCTGGTCTCAGAAGCGAGTTTCCGAAACCTATTGCTCGTCCCTTGAAGGACTTACAAAATCTAACTTTTATGGGAGACATTCTGAACCACAAACATTCAGATACCCCTGTCTCACCTTTGTCACCCCTTCATGAGACCATGGACAATTTTTCTTCTCTGATTTTTGAGTTTCAACCAATAGTTGTCAAATGCCCTAATTCCACGCTTCTTCCGCCTCTGACACCCCTGGACCTGAAACAGACCTCGGAATCTTCTCCCAACATTCCAAATACTGTAGTTCGCATTCCGAACCATGGTCCTCCTAACAATTGCCTTGTTGAGGAAATTATTTCGGAGACAACTGGACCTGACTCTGAAAAATCAAATTTTGTTTGGGCATCCTGAGATGATGACGTTGATGTAGAAACTAATTGGTTTTGAGCATATCTACATTCCTATGTGATAATGCAACCCTAATTGCTTTGGATCTAAGTTTTTCTCTATTGAACATACAAATATGAACACCAAAGCAATAACCCTGATATAGTATATATCATTTCGAAATTCATATATATATATATATATATATATATATATTAGGGTTAGAAGATTACCTCACTTGTTATATTGTAATAACAAGAACAATCCTTATTTGATCTTGACTTCTGAAAGCTTAGTGCCCCAAGTGTTGCACCTCTAATGGAGTCACAAACACTCAATGCAAAGGATGAGTAGGAAAGATGAGGAAATCGGCTAGGGTTCTCTTATAATGCTTGCATAGGCCAAAAATGCCATAGTGGAGGGTTCCTTATATAACTGTGGGCTGCTAGGGTTTCTGGAGGAAACCCTAATTCCTGCTTAAGGCTTAAGCATCCAATGGACCTCCTCTTTAGAGCCCTTGGACGAAATCTTATGGTCCTACCCATAAATTTCGTCCACTCCACTCTATGGAGTCCATCAGCCCAGTTTTACAACTATCAATGATATGCAAAACAGCCCCTCCATTATTAATCAGTTCCTTTAATCCCAAAATTAATATCAAATTAATTCTGATTAAATACTAATTAATAATATGATTTCCAAATAATATATTAATCTTATAATATATTAATAAAATCATTCTGAGTACCAATTTATTATTCATATAACAAATTCTACTCTCTCTCTCTCTCTCTCTCTCTCTCCACTAGTTATCCTGTCAAGTTGCATGAGTGAAGGCAACCCAAAATGACCATGCTACAAATCAAATCAAGTACATACTAGTTATAGTTATGGGCTTAGAAACTTAATCCAACAGTCTCCCACTTAGATAAGTCTAATAACTATTATTGCAAGTATGACTTCAGAATATGACTAGCAATCGTAGCTTTCAGAAGTCGATGTCGAACTCTGATCTTATCAGTAATGTGTCCCTTAGATAAGGGATCAAGTATTCCTCCATTCTACAAGATATCGTATAGACATGAGACATGGATTATAATCATTCTCTTTGTCCAAGGTTTGTTTCCCGATTTCCGATTTATGACGATTGACTCAGACTACAATTGTGTTGGATTAATGTCTAAGTCCATAACTATATTTGGTATGTACTTGACCCGACCCGGCATGGTCCATTTGGGTTGCACTTCACCGACACAATTTATATGGATAGTATTTTGAGAATAGTATATTTATGATTTATATTAATATATTATAAGTTCTATTATATTAATATGGAATCATATTATTTAATTAGTAATGATCAAGAATTAATTTAGAATTAATTAAGTGATAAAAAAGAACTAATTAAATATGGACTCTTATATATATGGAATGGGCCAAGTTCATTTAGGTTGGGCTAAGCTTTCATGGATGGTCCATGGAGCTTGTAACCCGTGGATCCTATGTAAATGAAAGGTCATGGGTATTAGGGTTTACATGGATGTAACCCTAATCCTCCATAATATATAAAGGGGTCATTGGCTCACAAAATTGGCACAAGTGTGTGAAAATAAGAGTGGGCCGATTTTAGTGTGCATACATATTCTCTCAAGTTCTTCCAAGGTGTTTTGGTGATTTGTGATTCCATTTGAGGCTTCCACACTATTGGGGCTAAGCTCTTAAAGCTTGAAGACATCAAGCTACATCAAAAGGTATGTCATCTAACTAGAACTTTGTAGTATAGGTGCTTCATAATATGCTAGTTAGGATGAAACCTTGGAATAGTTAATATTTGCATGTATAATAGAGAAAACATAGATCCAAGGTTTATAGGGTTGCATGTACACCATAGGAGTGTTAGAATGCTCAAAAAACCAACAAATTGAACAAATCAAATCAGTCCAGGCTTGGCCAAGCGCTTAGGGTGTCATCACTAAATCATCAAGGGGCCCACAGATATCGCTTTTATCCCATTTAGGGTAAAAGGAACGGATAAAATTCGACTCATATGCTTCTACTATTTACTCATCAAATCACACACAACAATACGTTTTATAACATCAAGTTATTGATGCGTTTACATATTATCAATGCGCAACCGACTTGTAAACAACAACTATATGTCTCCGTTTCAAGAATATAAGATATTATCATCTCACAATCACTCATGATAAAATCCATGAAGTGATTCAAACGAGCGTAGGTTTAATCCAATACTCAAATTCTTATTTCAGGAGTACTCACGAACACTGCAGCAAACATTTGCTATGTCTAAGCACTTAGACAATCTACAGTTGAATTCATGACAGTCTTACCTCATTACTTACTTCCAAAGTATGATCGATTGTGGATGCTTGAACAATCTTATTATTCGGGAAGTAAAACATGCAAAGTGAAACACAAGAATAACCTAATCCAATATGGTCTCAAAAATTTTGAATATAAATAAAACACTTATTATTTAATCACCATATTAATTAGACCCTATTAATTGTTTACTGTTTCGAATAATCAACTCAATACTTGAATTAAAACAATAGTCATCCCATGCTCCAAGCATGCACACTATGTTTATCTATGGTCCCTTCCTTGTGAAATAGATCAACTGAGCACATTTCCAATGATGCTCATTTCACAATTCCAAATCCTTACCACAAGTGTAAGAATACCAAATTCTTGCCACTACTAGAATTTGTTAGAGTCTAAACTTAAATGCAATGATCCTTTTGTAATGTCTAGGCACCAAAGTCACAGAGACTCGGCCAATGATATTACAAAACATTCCATTGGAGATTTGTTACAAAAGAATTCCATGGAAATGAAGTCTCACATTCAATGAGTATTCCTTGAACATCCTTCTTGCATTAAAGTTACTAACTCACACATAGATCTTAACATCCACCTCCCATAATGGAAACATTTCCATATTTCCATATGACTATCAATTCTGAACAAGAGTTACCTCTATTCAGAACATGTTAATATGGTCCGTCCAAATTAATACTATACTTCCAACTGTCCACAAGCAACCAATCTTTGGTAAATCTTAGATTA